CCCCCCCCCCCCCCCACCCTCCGCCCCATACTGAACCCGCGAGCGTATCATCCTGAATGCACTAAAAATTAAAAAGGTGGGTCCAGTCAGGGTACTACTACTGCCAGAATTTAGTACGACAGGTGTAGTAGACATAGTGGCAGTGCTAGAGGCAATAGCAGCAGCAGCAGCAGCATGCAGCAATTCCTCCCTGCCATGAGCGGGGGACGAAGATAGCAACAACGGCGACTGGCAATTTGGTTGATTGCAGCTCGTTCCTTTCTTCTGCGGCCATTGTACCGGCCCTCCTGCAAGTTGCAAGGCATACACACTAGCAATGCTACGTGGCGGGGACCCCCCTGCTCACACAGACGTTGCCACGGCACGTGTTCGTACATCCACAAGCATCCGACCATCACGGCGGCTGCATAAGTCTTTGCCTGCCGGCATTCTGGCTTCCAGCACTCTGATCGCTATGATGCTGCGCATCGTGGCCACCCCTTCTCGTTGACCACGCCCCTGCTCGCAAGTCTGGTCGAAATCGATACTTTCAGGCCTCCACTCTTGGGGTCTCTTGCTGCTCCAGGCATCTAGATTCCTTGCTGTAAAGTCCAAGCCTCCAAAGATTTCGCTGGAGTTGACGAGAAGGCTCTGGTTCGCGTTTCGAGAAGCATCCTGTGGATTCATGCCTCCAGTCCATTCCCCAGTGAGTATGTTAGAAACGCCTTGCTTCTCTCCTGCGACCTCATACAAAGCATAATTGTTCCAGTGACGCAACTAAAAAATAGAGTGTGCCTGCGCTTTTCAGTGCATCAAAACGTGGCAAACCCCAACACGCGTGCGCGCACTCTGATTCTTCTTATTCCTTATTTCTCCTTCTTCTGCCCGTTTTCCCTCTTTCTCTCGCACTCTCTCTCTCTCTCTCCCTCTCTGTCCATCTGCCTGCTCGCCGTTCCGCATGCTGCTCCTCCAAGTTCTCTCCTCCTTCCCTGGTTCTGATTCGTCAGCTCCACTTGGTACGCGTTGGCAGGGCTCACTAGCTGCTAGCTGTGCCTTTAATAAGCAGAAGCAATGCGCATTAGGGCTCAGCGGTCAAGATGGAATTTGTTCGCAAAACACCCTTTGTGCGAAGCTTTCAAAGGCTGGTCATCTGGTGTGGGACCATAGTACCATAGTCGATGGATTTCCAGGGTTCCTGAAACAAAAACATTGCATTCTCCGAACTGGGCACGTTTCGGGGTGATGCCGTTATAGCTGTGAGGTTGATGCTCTGGGGAGTGCAGACCCGTGGGGATGGACGTTGTTATGGGGTCTAGATGCTCCGGGAACCAGTGCGCTCGGGAAGGTGCAGTTTGACGATTTGTGCTCTCCATGGGGAGCAGACCCATGCTGAGATCCGCGCTGCTACTGTGCCATGGGCGTGGATGCTCGAGGGAACGAATGCGCCGGATGTAGTACGTTATTCTGGTTTGGGCATGGATGCTCTGGGAAATAGGAGGGCTCGAAGAATGCAGGGATGCGAGCGAAGATGCGTGTACTGGGAGTACGTCATGCGCACCATGTACGATTTTTTCAGTGAGACCCCCGATCCCTCAAGCGCAGCCACGTCCTGTCCAGCTGAATCTGGACCCTGTTTCGATTCCTGCCTGTACTGCAACAAGAGTAGAGGTGTACTTATACTTTACCTTTACGATGCATCTTGTGGCCGAATGCGGCGGACATCCTAGTTTCTCAGCTAGCAGGCAGCAAGCCTACTTCTTCGTCGTGGTCTCTCAAAACTCTACAGCTTGGCTTCTGCTATCATCCCATGTCCTGACCTGCATGCAAAAAATCCTTGCACAACTCGGCATGCTCCTTATTTCGACCAGTGGTTCATCCTGGTTCGAGGCCCCCTCCAACAGACAGGTCTCGCAACTTACCAAACCTTGAAATGCTGCAGGTTCATGCCACCATGTGCCACGCAGGTTAATGCCACCATGTGCCACCGAGAAACTGATTTTGGCACCTTCCAACGTGAGGAAGCGGATTCCAGCGCTCACGAGCTTCTGCAGCACGTGGTCATCGATGGGACAATCAGCACCTCATACGGGCTTCGCGGACGCTCCTCAAAACTACTCAAAAGCATGTGCAACCCTGTCCAGGTCCCTGAGTGCAAAAAATGAGCTTTGGGGTTTCCAGTTGGCGGCTCAAAGCAAGTAGTGTCCTCTTGTAAGGCGCCAATAAAGGGGCACGATGTCTGTTTAAGCCAGCGCGTGATCTTTGCTTTCATGAGCTGACCGAAAGCGGAACGCTCACCCCTAATCCTTAAACTAACCCTGCACCCTAAAATCTGAATCCCAACCTAAAACCTGAACCCTGAAACCTCGAACTGCAGCTGCAGTGCTTGCAGTCAGCTGTAGCTCATCCAAACCACCACCTGAAATGGCCCTTCCTGCGCAGCATTCAAAACCATGGCATGATCTACTTGGGGATTTCAAAAAAAGTTTAAGTTTTGAGGGGTGTAGGGTTCAGGTTTAGGCTTCTAGATATGTAGAGAGGTAATTAGGTTTAAGGCTTCAAGGAAAAAGGGCCGTTTCCCAGTCCGCATAGTCGGGACTATGTCTTGGTTGGGAGGACATGAGGGGCCCTGTTTCTTGTAAACTCCAATTCGTCTAAATCGTTTCTCGATGAACTTGGGAAAGTGAATGCTGCCATGCACCTGAAGCTGGCGCGCACAGGTTCATAGGATCTCATGAGCAGCACAGTTGTTGGACGACTTTGTCACAATGCATTACAACCTCCCCAGGTAAGGAGGCACATATCTGCTACAGTCGAGGTGAGCCCGAACCCAACATGCTGCTGTATGACTGTATGCTCACTGGTTGCCAACATGTCAAGTACCCTATACAAGAACTCCACAAACAATCTATAAACCATGAAAGCTTCTAACTCAACTGTCCCGTGGGACCCCCTCGGCCCCCTCCACCACAAAAACGGCAATGATTTGTCTAGTTTTTTCATCCGGCTTCATGGGGGTCATTTTTTGAGGAGGCACCCATGTCTCTTGCTAGCGTGCGGTCTGAAGCCCACCGGTCCAACCGCGCGAACGAGATGCCAGACTCCTTCACCAGGGACGAATGCTTTATTTCTGGTTGGTCTGGACAGGCTACACCTGGACGTCACCTGTGGGTACCATCCCTAGCCCTCCTTTTTAAGTCTTTGATTCTTAGAAGCATCATGGAAATTCATACGGTGCAGAAAGCTGGCACATTCCAACACAGCGCAAGCCGCAACTTCAAGGTCACGTGCCAGACAAGTCAAGATCCACAGGAAAGGATGCTCCTGGGCAAGCTCTACTCATTTGCAATCCTGAAGAAGAACCCATTCCTGTGTGTTCCCATAGCAACTAGAAGTACTATAGGAGCTGATCAACTTTGTCTACTTGAGGTATCCTATAGCAAACTTATACAAGAAACCTAGGATCTTTCCCCGCTGGATTCTCCATGGGTAGAGTCCGAACCCTAAACCCTACATTTCCCCTATAACTCGGCCCCTGTAGTAGGGTCGTTGAAACTTGCCCAAGTCCTTGCAAGGTGGCCCCATGGGCACCCTCCAGGGATAAGGCCCGTAGCGATGATCTTGTGGGCTTGGAGGCAGCTAGAGACCTGGGCTCTTGCTGAAATACAATTTAAAAAAGATCTGTGTTTTTATTGATATTGGGCCCAGGTATCCATAAAAATGGAAAGTTTTGTTCTACAAGAGCCCAGAGACTGCAGCAGTATATCTCCCACCTTGACTTGCTTGGGGCTAATTAGTAGGGAAGAAGGATCATATTCCCGTATTGCCTACTCGCCACTAGTCAGTAAGTTGAGGGTCAACTACAAACCAGAACCAGACTTGAAAAGCTGAACAACAAAAAAAGAATCCAAGATTTATCAGGGCACCAAGAACAGCACATGTGATAGTAGCGAGCCCAAACCAAAGTTTCATAGGCAGCCCAGGATACCCTGCGGCAGGCTGCACCTTTTTGAAACAGGGGTATCTTATAAGGTCCGGTCCTTGTGTGAGGCTTGTGATAATGACCACAAGTTGTTGGCTTAGGGTCGAATTACACATCGCTCACCAACTGGTGCTTTGCATCAGGTGCTGTCGAGTCTACTTCCGTCTTGAACCCTGGACCCCGAATCAGCATAGGTGGCCCGCGACCCCAACCCCAGACAAAGCTTAATCCTAAACCCCGACATCACTAATACCCTACTCCGTTACGCCAACCCCAGAATCCCCAAACTCTGCATCCGCAACGCTCCACACTGCAAGCAAGGACGAGGCACATGGACATTTGCCAGCGCCAAGGCCTCAAGGGCTGGCAGGGCCCCCAGCGCCATGGCAGTCTCTGCCTGGAGAGCTTTGAGGTTTCGGGTTAATGTTTTGGGTGTAGTTTTTGCCTTCGGCGTAGGTGAAAATTCTGAGGCTTTCTTGGAAGGTCTGGGATCATTAGTCATTACTGGGAATAGCTGGGGTGATTATATATGGCTTATACGGGTTTAGGCACATAGACTACGACTACCGTCCAAGTAGCATTTGAAACTAGAGCGGGCGGCAGATTGCAAATCCCCAACAGCAGTTGCCCTGGATATGCTTAGGTTGAAAGCCAAGTACTTCTGAGCTCACGTAGGTTGTAGACCCTAAGCCCTAAACCCCAAACCCTAATCCCTAAACCTTAAGCCTTAAGCCCTAAACCCTAAATGTTTGAGGTTGGGAGATGGTGTTTTCCCTGCATAGGGGGGCCCCAATATAGGTCCCAAAACACTATAACACTATAGGCCTTATCATAGGGAGCCCTTTTAGGGTGTAAGATTTAGGGTTTGTGGTTTAGGATTTAGGGTGTGGGATCTATAAGGTTTAGGGTAGTTTAGGGTTTTATGGTTGCAGTGTGTTGGCACTGCAATCCTTCGATGATCTTAGCTGAGATGTTGGACAGGCCATGCGCAGATTCAATGATCCCCAATGTTCATTGCACTCTGTTGCGAAAGCGTAGTTAAGGTGGACTTTAGCACAAGTCCTGATGGCAAACATCCCTCAACCCTAAACCTTAAACTCCAAATCCGACCCTTACACAGCAGGGTTTGAGACGACCCCTCAACATTCATCAGAGCCAGGTTCCCAGATATGCATCCAAAGAATCGCAGGTCTGTAATGGGTTTTCTTCCATTTCTTGGGGTGAATGGACAAGGGATCCTAGAACTACCATGGCCGACAGGAAAAAAACGCGATAGAGGTTTCCACCCTTAAACTTGCTTTGGCATCTGTCGAAACAACCCGTATATATAGTCCCCCTTAAGTAGATAGAATATGGCTTTGGGTATATTATGATAGGATCCCCATATACCCCATATTCTATCTACTTAAGGGGGACTATAGCCCGTGAGGGAGCCGCTATAATCTCAATCTACTCCGCATGTCTCCCTTGCGCGTTCATAGGGCTTTTTCTTGAGAAGCTGGCATACGTCTGAGGAGCAACTCTTGCAATCCAACAGAAATTGCACGAGACCATAAACCCTAAACAAAAGCTAAACTTTACAGACCATACTTCCCCCATTTAAAATTCTATTCATCCGTTGCACACAGGAGGAAACTTCTTACCTTTTGTGAGCTAGGAATAAAGGAATGGATCCTTAGAGTAGTCGCTGTATAGCCCATTATAGTAATTTCCATGTTCTTTTCCATGCCTTCTTTCCCATCTGAGCAAAGCTAAGCTAAAAACCTAAACCCTAAATTTAAATAATCCTAAACCCTAAATCCTCAATCCTAAACCCTTTTCCGGAGGCACTAGCTTCAGGCCCCAGCCTCCCAAGCTCCAGGAGGAGCAGCTCGCTGCACAGCTCTGCTGGCTGTTAAAGCAAGGCAACCACCCGAGGGGCCCAAGAATCAGGCACACACTGGAAAGTGACTATCCCTTGGGTTTTGCTATAGACACGCACGGCACAAGCATACATTTGCACATCAAACTGCTGAGCTTGCTCACGTGGCACAAGAAACTGGTAAGAAAGCCACGTACCCAACATGGCAAGCATCTTCGAAATCCAGGCAACATTTGCTGACCACGACTGTGAGCTGTCAACCTCCCTGGAAATAGACTTAGTTCCCTCTATCCTGTCAATCCAGATAAAGGTCTGTTTGCCTTCGCAAAGAATGACATAGATGCCCAAACACCAATGACAGTCATGTACCGATGGAGAGTACCAATTTACCCAATCGGTTTCCTTCACAAAGCTGGGAGCCCAGTTGTACAACGCCAGCACTCTGTCCAACAAGGAGGCCCAATACACAACCCTAAATCCTGAACCCTAAATCCTCAACAATAAACCCTANNTAAACCCTAAACCCTAAATTAACCCGTTGCAGGCGGGAGAAAACTTCGCAACCAGGCACCTGGAGTGAACGGAAGCCCACCAGAGCTGCGGGGCAACCTGCCTTCATAGGGTTTAAGGTTTAGGG